ATTAATAGTACTACGTACTACTATTAACTACTACTACGTAGTACTAGTATATACTTCGAAGTACAGTGATCCCTCAACGTTTGCTCGCTTTTCCAAATATAAATTTTCCAAGTCAGCCTATTGTACAAAGAAACCACGAACATTAACTTTGAAGGGTGACTATCTGCTGGTCAATTAACAGTAAGCAAAAGCTGAAGTGAATGGCCCAAGTTCCGAGGTAGAACCCCCGTATGAGCCCAGCAGTTGCGAATGGTCGTTGATGTGACGCAATTCCAGGCGGAAACCGACCAACGTATTGCCGTGAGCACGTCCACGGCGTACAAGTTTCTTGGTTCGCGACCGGACTCGACGGTAGGATCATCAATGATGTCTAAAACATGATCCATTTGACGACGCTTGTAGTGGCTCTTGAACGCAGCGATGATACCGGCATCCATTGGCTCTCAAATGTCTTTGTGTGTGTAGTTGTCAATATGAGGTGTTGGCTCCTCAATTTTGAATTTTCAAACGATGCATGCATGTCATAAGGCCCTTAGTAAATTAATATCGAATAAAATTTAACGGAGTATAAATTTATACCAGGGAGCAAACGTTGAGGGATCACTGTACGTACTAGTAAGTACGAAGTATTCGGTTCAAATTTTCAGACCCCATTATTGTTACCGGTCGGTATCGAGTCTCTGAATCGAATCACGAATCGACGCTATTGGCTAATGCCTGATGACACTTTTAAAAAGGATAAGAATAAGCAGCCGATCAGAAGTTCCAGCGTGATTCAATATTGACAGAAAACAACGCGAATTTTGGGAGGTTACATGTATAACGTTTGCGAATCCACAATAATCGGCTTGCAGTGAATAGATTCACCTTGGGGATCATTTACTCTGATTTACACTCAAATCGAGACAATATAGGGACGGTCCAAAACCTATACTATTAATAGTATATCTTAATCTACTGTAGGGAGAAATTGAGACATGATGAATGTACTACTATTATTATTATCAATTATAGTACTTGTTGAAGTCAAATTACATACAGTTTACTTATTCGTATTAGACGTACACTGAGTAGTCGGGCGAAACTGTCCAGGAGAACACCACAACGACGTTAGGTTAACCGAACAACGTATGTGTACCAAGTCCATTCGTCCAAGACATGGTTTGTGCAAACATTCCGAAGTCGACCGAATAAAATGGTTCTACGTAGCAGCAATCGGGTACATGTACTACGTAACGGTTATTGTCCTTTTACCCAATATTTGGACTTTCGTGCTGACTGTGAATCGCCAAATCTATCGATCGATTCTTTGTACTGAAGTTTGTTCCTGTGGTGATTGGTATCACACTAATTTGACGTTGATGACGGTCCTGCAATCGGATTGGCTAAATCCGTCGATTCATTCTCCATGTCCCTCCAGTTTAACATATGTAAATTAAATACATACAGTACTTGTGCATAACCTATTAATAGTAGGACGGAGTAATCACCACATGGACACGGATTCTATTTTGGGACGGGTCACCATGGAATGATCCAAATTCGTCCATTGCTGCTGCCCCCCACATCCTTCTCTCGCCACGACGCGAGGGGGGATATGGTTCGATTCACATGGAGATCATCAACAAGCTACGGATTGACCACCAAGGTAGCCAGCCACCACCGCACCTGACACGTGTGAGGGGGAGGTAGTCACGTTTAATAACATGCACATGTAGAGAGCCACGCCAACCCGGGTCGAGGGGAAGGCCAAGCCGACAGAAAAGGGAACTTCCGTCCGAGCAATGGGCCGCGTGGCGTCCAATGTGATTGCGGGCATGTTGCTTTTCGTCCCCCTTGTGACCCTCGTAGTGCTCGTGACGGAAGTATGGATATATGGCGTGTTTATCATGGCCAATAAGGTTGATGGCAGGGCATGTTGGACCGCAGAGTCGTGTCGTTCAACGCCCAAACCTCCGACTACGGCTGGGCCGACTATGGCAAATCCTGCGTGTTGACGACTTCCACCAATGGCTGGGCTTTGCATACGTACGTTTCGTCTGGTGTTTTCCCATTCACCAGTTGTTGACGAAGTTTCCTGTCCTTGGCTATATCATACAGGTGTGACGCCAACACAGCTGCGGTCGCGCCACTGAATGTCTTCGACACGATTGGTCAAGTTCTGTCGCGGCAATGGGCAAGGGAGTTGGCTAACGGTATATTCGATCGATCCAATCAAACGTGAGGAGAAATCATCGTTGTGCAATGTTGTTGTAGCGAGTGGCACACTCCATGTCACGACGTGTGCGATGGGCGGGACGGCGAGAGAAGGATGGGCGAATTTGCAGTTCATTGCGGGGTACATAATACATACTACGTATGGTGGTGTATTATTGATATAATCCATGTGTCATTCTGTATTCGTAGCTACGACTACTTTCCTGAATGTTTGCCGCCTTTACCGCAGGACGTTGCTGGCATGGCCATGTTGGAGACCACGGTGTTGCATCCAACATGAAACGAACGAACGACCAACTCGACAACGATTGTAGACTCGCGACGACGACGGGGTATACGCTTTGATTGTATACGCGGATTTGGACCCTGACATGGTACGTCCGTTATTTTGTGTCCTTTCGTGTGGAAATGGATATAACGTTATATATTATGTACATAACATGTAGACTCCGTACACACACACCAATTCGGATGGAACGGTGCAAAAGCTCATCGCAAACCCCCAACGCACGCTCATATCCGTCGATGGCATTGTGGAAAACGACCCCACGGGCGAAAATTACATAATTTATTCACGTCCGTTGGGCCCCCGGTAGAATCAAATCCATATGTAAATATGTATAAACATGCTCTGACGTACTACTCATAGGTACCTCGTGACAGGGTATTGCAAGTCAGAAATCGAAGAGCTATCGGTGATTCATAAGGACTGGACCGTCCCAGGGTGGAGCCAAGGTACAGTACACACATGAATAATATCACCAAGGTCACGTGTAGCTATCTGAAAGGCTGAGCTTTGCTTGCCTGTTAGGGAAATATGCCAAACACCCCGTGGTCACAGGCTGGGCGTGCGGCCATACCGTGTCGAAAGCGACGGAATTGATTGCACTGCAAGTCGTCTTTTCGTTGTGCACGTTGTGCCTGTTTGCTGGCGACATATACATCACCCTCCAAGGCAAAACGCCAAAATACATGCACGGGTCTGCAACCACTTGGGGGTATTGCGTAGGGTTGCAGGGGGTGTTCACCAACAAGCCAGTGCTCACGTATCAAGTGTTGGCTGGCCTAGAACGTCGAAAGGTGTGTCTAGCCTGTGTTTAGCTCATACACAACAATGATACACAACAACTGTAGCTGCTCGTGGCATTTATTTTGATCACGACGATGCCGGGCTTGCTGTATTTGGATGTGTCGCGCATCTACTTTTCGACTCAAAATGGGTTCCGTATATGGTGCCTGTCGTGCCTCATGTTTGGCACGTTTCACGCGTTTGGGTTTATCTTTTTTCTGAGGTACACAAGTACTACTGGAACTGTTGGCAGCCCATTCGTCTCCATAACGTTACTATATATCCAACACCATCCTGTACAGCATTTTGGACAGAATTCCGTGTCAGTTGTCCCACGTCGTGCATTACTCTGCCCCCACCTGCCTCTACGGAGCGATCATTGGCACCGCCGTCGCATGTTGCCAACAACCCATTTACGAAACCGCGTACCACAAATTCTATGCAGCATCTCCCCTATTGAGTACTACTCATCCCACGCGCGAAAACAGTGTAATAAAGACGATTTTGTAGTGCTTCGAGTGTTTGGTCAAGACTGGTCCAGTGGGTCGTACACTGTCGACGGCACCCCGCCAGTGATTGTGTACCTATGCGAGCAAATACTCGTGCCAATCTGTATCGCGTTCGTGGTATCCATTGTTGTGGCTGTGGTTGATCGATTCAAGCTTCCCAAGAGGTACTACTCAATGCACTACACATGTATATTATACTTCGAAGTGTATATATATGCTCCTTCGTCGACTATTTAGTTTCGATGTTAACAAGATGTTTGGTCAGTTTGTTCATGTCCATTGCGTGGTGCCGCACAAATTCGTTCATCACCCACGCCCAAGCGCCGAATTGGATCACAGCGTTGCCCCTCAACCAAACCAATGCCATTAAAATTGGAAACAAAATGTACTGCAAACCAAGGTAGCCAAAGTTCTCCTAACGTTGTGTTATTCCTGTCAACTAAACTACGGTATGCTTCCAGCACCCAAGCGTTGATGGGGTTCGCAACGGTGATGGCTCGAGACACGTATAACACACCACTAGCTGACATTGGTGTTATCAATACCTAATAAGTTTGGTTCCTTTTTGTAGGCCCCAGGTCGCGCCAACTGCGAAAACACAATCGACCGTGGACGTTAGCGTGCCCATTCAAGTCGTCAATATGTACGCGCTGGTACCCGCCCTGTGGTTCCCCACTCTCATTCGTCAGTATGGAACGATCCACAGCAACGAATTCACAGCTACAACCATCCAGGCAAACTTACCCCCCAAAAAGTACAAGCACACACGAGGGGCTTGTGCAAAGTAACATAAAATAATGTAAAAAACACATGCTAACGTTATTTGGTGTTCTTATTGATACCGGTTTACAAATGCATATAAATTATTAATGTGAAACATTTTATTGAGCTACAAAAAGAAATCGCAGTCGATTAATCTTTTACGCTAAATCCACTGAACGAATATAACGTTGAATGGGTTTACAGTTAAAGTAGCCAATCGTGATCATCGTACTCTTCAATTGCCTTGGTGAATAGAGCAGATACTATTCTATCGACAGCGCTAACTTTACCGGTAGTTAAGTGCACATAAGTGCATGGACTCGAGTGGGATATACACTGTAGTTCTGTCAGAAATCCGGTGAAACTTTGGGTAACATTACGAGAGCATGAATTGGACTACAGTATCTATTCTCGGGTCCAAAGTTATCGACGTATCAACGCTCAGAGCTTATCGGTTGACTGTACAATATGTATCATGCCCTAACAAGGTCGTCGTCTACTGTTCTGTAGCTCTCCTTAATGTATGTGGGGATAGCATGCAAGAAATTCTTTAGGCAATTCACTGACGGCTCTACCTGTATACAATGATCGAAACCATCACAAATCTAAAGGAATAGATAACACTCTCCAAAGACCTCTAATGCGGTCGAGCAAAACATCAGAGGGCGCCCTCGTCGGCGAGATTGCAAACGCCTCGCAATGGCGGGATGTTCCCGCCAATGCGAATTGCGCCGTCTGTGGCAATGAGGTTTGTGCGGCGATTTGCACATGCCTCGTACGTGGTCCTTTGTACGAACTGTTCGCAACTTAATAATCGGTGGTATTTCTTATCTGTTTCTTGTATTGACTTTGTCAATCTGTCGTCCAAAGTCGACCAAAACAACATGCTTTATCCTTTGCAGTAAGCTACTGCACAATCCGAGAAGTAAACTGTACGCAAAACTGAAATGAATGCACGGTGACCATATTCCCATAGTGCTCGAAATAGATTAGAGAACCTATCGTTGTTGAGGTTGAGATGCAACAAGTGCTTCGCGCTGCATTCCTTGGCGGGAAGTGCCGTCTTTGCACAACATTTCCCAATATTCAGACCAACCTCGCGAGAGGCAAAGAAAGAGCTTTCTAAATTTGAGTTTTCGCAAGTAGTGGAGGTGCACACGATTTAAGGTGAACGTTATGCAATGCTCTGCTAAATTAGAAGCGCTTTGTATGATCCAGTTATACCATCGTAGATCTGGCTGGTACCAGTAAAAAGTTCTGGAAATGACCAATTCCTGCAGCCTCTTGGTCGTACAAAGTCATAGTTGAAGTCCCAAATAAAACACACACACAACACACAGCCAAGCGGACCCTAATTGAACAATCCGTCGAAAACATTGGTAAGATTAACGTTTTACTCCCTGCATTCCTTCCTAAATACGTTAGCTGTTTTAGCTGATTAACATCATCCCGATACACACCGTTGTGAATTCTTCAATTACCACATCATACTAATTTCAATCACTCACTAATGAGTGGATTTGATTGGCCACTGATTCGTGTTCTGCACTTTGATTGGTCGATCGATTGTATGCCGATTTGAAGACTTATGATTGGAAATCGTAACACCAGTTGTCTACGTGAAATGTTTCGTCAAATAGTTGATTTAATACACCCATTGGACAAAATCAACATGCATGCTCACAACATGCGCTTTTGCCTATATTCTGGATTGTGTCATTAAAAAGAAGTCAGGAGGCTGCGGGAAATTACCAACCTAGACATCCTCGGCGACATAAGCGAGGATAAAGGCATGTCTAGACCAAGGAGTCGAGTTTTGGTGCAAGGCAACTTTGTATTCGATTCCGCTGTTCAAAACGTATACGTAGTATATGGACTTCAAATTTTGACCGCAGGTTACGATGCTTTTTGGAAAAGTATCCACTGCATTCCACGAGAATACCGTTACGCACTTTTAATATAAAAAAAAGAAGATAACATCGAAATATAGCATCAAGTTAACATAAGTTAACATTAATGTTTGTCATAAATTATTACAATGTTAACTATCGAGAAAGTACATTACTTTGTCGTTGAATTGCTCAGCAACGGCTGGTCTGGGCATGATACATTTAATATGAAAACTGAAGAGATAGCTGCAGGCTATATAACGAGACGTGATGTGTGGCGATTGCACTTTTTTAGCATGCGTGAAGTGACCTCAAACATGCCAAAAAACTGAAATACGGCTTACTTTGGGTGTGATTATATCCCGCAATAAGCATCGTAACACCGTCCATGCCGCTTTATTACGTAGCATCATTGCTGCTGTACATGCTACCATCTTCTTGCGTTGATCGGTGATCTCTGAGCCACGAAGCAGCACATCAAAGACGCATTTTGGCGAAAACTTCAAATATAGCGTGAAAGATGACAAACAATTATTGTCATCTTGAGCTATAATTTATAGCATACATTGATATGTTATGTATCCCTAAATCCTCCCACACGACAAATTTACCCGACAAGGCTCTGATTGGTTAAAATTCTCGTCCTGTTGTGTGCGGTATTTCATACTTGTCCTGTTAAGCTCGTCCTGTCATGCTCGTCCTGTCATGCTCGTATAAACATGATGAAACGCTATCAACTTAAATCATTCATTGTCCAATTTGCCACTAACATCAACTTCGTCTTAAACCTGCTTTCGGGCGGGGGGCTATCAAGGCCGTCAACTACACCATCCCACACCTCGGTTCCACTGTGGCACAGTCCAATTCAGGGAATCGACCGAGGCAACGGGTTAACGGAGTTCTTGTTGACGGAGTACAAAGGTTATCCTTTGCCTTGGTAGACTAGGCTTTAAGTATTTTGCTTTGGCTATTGCAATTACGATCGTGAACCAATTAGCAATTTAAATTAACGAAGTACACACACAATAATATTCAACTTACAACCTATTTTCTCGCTTTCTCTTCCTAACTTCTTGAAGCAAACCCCAGTACGAATCTGCATGACCACCGTAATCATTCTCAAACTGAGCATAGCTCTGATACTTGTTGAAAGCAGTCGCCAGGGTCTGCCGCTCGGAGTACTTTCGACGGTCACTCTTGATCATTTCCTTGGAATAGTCCTTGAGGGCACAGTAAACACATGTTAATTCAATGTTGCTCCCACGACAAGATCCTCGTCCAATGATTAGGCGTCAAAAGCCGTTGACGAATCAAGTCACGATTCTTGTGTCGGGCAGCCAATGGTTCTCCTGAAATTGTCGGGTACTTGTCGGGTGTGTATTTTATGTTATACTTCGAAGTAATTTTCTAACATTTAAATGTCATAT